TAGATCTCCTTTATGAGCATTAGCACTAGGTTATACAGATAGCGACATCAATTAGATATTTTTAGCATCATTGGATGTCAGTTAGTGTCAACATCAATCAACATCAATGAGTATACAATACATCAAAAAAATTTAAATCATGTTGGAGTTAGATTGGAGTTAGATTAGCATTGCATTTCTATTGAGCTAGAGTTGAACTCAAAATTATCAAAAGTTGGCCCAATTGGAGCTGGCCTAGTCAGACTTCATCTGACACATCAAGGTTCATAAACATTTAGGTATTGTTATCTGAAAATTAGATAGCTATTTGATCAATAGGCATTTTTAACTTAGATTGGCTATCAGTTGCATCGGATTGGATATATTAGGGAAAAAGAGGTTTTTCCTGATGTATGCGCGTGCGTACCCAGACCAAAAGCTTCCATTGTGCTGTCAATATGTCAACAGCAGCTATGTTATCTTACACTTACTAAGTCGCGCGATCAGCAAAATGGCCTATGGGCAAGGAGTGTAAGTAAGTCAAAGTGGCAAGACGATGCAAGGTAATCTTACCATTGGAACGATGACCACGATCCGACAGTCGCTTACTATGACATGTCAGCCTACGTCTACCGTCAACAACCACAAGACCTTACATAGCCAGATGCGCCGTAGATAGAAGCTACTCATATTGTTCAGAAAGTTGCAACGTAATCCTCGTAAACGGAAAGCGTGCACTGCTTACCTTTGAACAAGGCCTATGACCAGCACCTGCCAACAAGTGTATAGATGGTTTTAGAATTGACCTCGCTATCTGAGCGCAAAAACATACGCCAAGCGTACACGAGACCTTGGAGTGAATGAACACTTCTTGAGTGGTACTAACAGAAAGTCACTGAATAAAGCTTACACCAGCACTCCTATACATCATACCTCAGTATGGCATCGCAAGAAAGGGATCACAATGACGCACCATACTATCCGGTCCTCTTTGCGAAGATCGCAAAAATCGTCAATGGTGTAAGAATACAGGATGTGCAATAGGAGTGCCGTATTGACTGTTTCAGACAAGCTAGTCGCCACCAGGTCAGTCAACATTGAACAAATCATCTGGCAATGTCGCTCACAAGACGACGGCAACAGTGGCCTTAAGCAAGGGTTTATCCCTCTTGAAACTGATCAAATAGAAGTAAACCTGCACTACGATAATCCCATACAACCTGCCAACAGCGCAGGTAAGGTTGTATGTTGACAGAAGAGCCCATAACTACATCAGCAAACCTTCACATTGCCTTTCGTGTCTTACCCGAGTCTGAACAGTCTGGGAGAGTCTGAGATGCCTGAGTCTGCTGGTCTCGTGCCCAGCCGTTCTCTCGCACCCCACCACCGCAGCGAATGTCTGGGGCATTCTGGCAGAGGACCCCTACCGTAGAGCTAGCGCCGACTTGTAACGGTCACATCACGCCTCATGCCTGATGGGACGGAGATAGTGTTGCCTCGAAGATGAGACATCGTGGAGACGTCTTGAGACCATCTTCGTTATGTAAGCAGTCTCACCCGCTCTTCAGACATGGTGATCTCATCGTGAAGATGTCTTGAGATTGTTCTCCACTACGCAAGTCCCGCCAAATCCTGCGGTGAATTCGCGCATTCTTCAGTTTATTCTCTTATGCCGTGCGTCAAACATACTGACAGATCACTGAAAGGCTTTCCACACTCTTCCTATCCATGCTGTTTTGCACTCGCCACCCTGAATTGTTTCATAGTTAGTTTCAAGGGAGTTCAGTAGTAGTTATACTCGCATCAGCAAATTTGAATCAAGTAGATATAGCGAGGTATCGCGAGATATACCCTGTATACCCTGCGAAGCCTGCCTCCAGTCGCGTAGGTATGTG